CCTTATTCATTCATTCTCTTTCAACAAAATAATTATTAACGTGTGAGGCACTGTCCTTGGTGCTAGGAATACATAAAGAAACAAGATTGTATTTCTACCTTCTTAAAGCTTGAATAATGGGAAGGACATTAAACGTGATTAGAAATGTGGGGAGTATCGTTTTTTTAAAATATATTTTTATTGTTAATAGTATTACAGATATCTCCCTCTCCCCCTCCACTCCCCTTCCCCTAACCATCCATGCCGAGGTCTTCACTATTCTATTGCCAATGTCCATGGGCTGGATGGATATATACACACACATACGCGTGCCTAAGCAACCGTTAAAGCAGAACAACAGAAATGACCAGTCGCTATGATGGGCACTGAGCAGGCAAGCAGGCAGGGTGAGCAGTCCCGGATTACGAGAGGCAGTCAGACATCCCCCAAGGGGCTCAGATTGCAAGAGGGCACAGGTCGGGCTGAGGGGTCCCCCCAACCCCCCCCCCCCACCTCATGCACAAATTGCATGCACTGGTCCTCTAGTAAGTATATATGTTCTTTGGTTTATCTCTTCTTGGCCCACAACCACACATAAAGATATGTCAGTCTGTTCCATACCTCTGTGCTTCAAGTCTTAATTTGTTGGTCAATTCATTTTGTTCATTGAATTCCACAAATTTAGTGAGATCATGTGATACCTTTCTTTCTCAGCTTAGCTTATTTCTAATTAGCATAATATTTTCTAGGTCCATCCATGCTGTCCCAAAAGGTAAGAGATCCCTCTTTTTTACGGCTGCATAGTATTCCATAGTATCACTGTGCAATTGCTCTTTTTTTTTTTTTTATCCATTCATCTACTGATAGGCACTTGAGCTATTTTTAGATCTTAGCTATTTTGTGATGAGTATCTGAAGAAGGTGTACCAGATGCTATGTGAGTGAACTAAAGTTAGCCTGGAGAGGTTTGGGAAGGCTTTCCATAAGGAACTGGCACTTTTGTGAGGGGAATGGGGTAAAGGAGAAGGTCAGCTGGAAGAGAAAATTATTCCAAGTCAAAGGAGAAACACAGGAAGGCCCGTATGGGTGACAGTGGAGAAGAATGGCATAAGATGAACTGAAAAGATAGTATGTGCCAAATCAAGGAGGGCCTTGTAAGGGTTTGCTAAGGGTTTGTACCTATTTTAAGGGCAATGGAAAATCATCAAAGGGTTTGAGGCCGAGGAGAAGCACGTCCATCCTTGCATTTCAGAAGCTCACTGGCTGCTAAGTGGAGAATAGATAGGAAGAGAGCAAAATTGACCCTCAGTGTGGGGACCAGTTAGGAAGCAGTTAGTGTAGTGTAGGTGGGAGGTGACTAGTTGTGGGAGTAGGGATGGAGAAAATTCCAGAGGTTTAAAAAACAGGAGGTAGAATTCACAGATATTAGTGATCAGTTGATTGGCTATGAAAGTATGAAGGAAAGGATGAATTCCAGACTTCTGCTTGAGCAATTAAAAAAAAAAAATCCAGAAATATCATCAGTTTACAGAAAGCCCACCAGAATACTCATCTTCCCAGTCCATTGAGCAGGAGGGCTGCAGTATTCAGGGAAATCTCTTCAGGTAACCAGAGGCACACAGATAGGATGATGAGGGTGAGGATAGGCGTCTAATTAGCTAAGATGCACAAAGGAAAATGTGCAGCTCACACACGGTGCACTTTGACCCATACACAGTCTTCCTGAATCCCTGATCTCCTATGGCTGCAAAGCCTCCTGCTCAGTGGGGAGTCAGCCTGTGCCCTTTAACCATCCTTTTGCTGATGTATCTCTTCTCCCTTCTGATGCTATCCAGGGCCTAGGAGCTAACAGCCTATGAACCACCTCAGATACTGTGTGTGGTTCTAACAATGTGGGTCCCAGGCAGCAATTTTTAAAAAATAGTACCTCTGTCCTATCAAGAAAAACTTGATTTAGAAACAACTCCAGCCCTAGCCAGTTTGGCTCAATGGATAGAGTGTCGGCCTGTGGACTGAAAGGTCCTGGATCAATTCCCGGTCAGGGTACATGCCCGGGTTGCGGGCTCGATCCCCAATAGGGGTTATACATGAGGCAGCCAATCGATGATTCTCTCTCATCATTGCTGTTTCTATCTCTCTCTCCCTCTCCCTTCCTCTTTGAAATCAATTTTAAAAAATAATCCTATCCAGAGAGTCACTTACCAAGAGCAGTGGCTTTATGCATCACCAGACAGTTGGCATCCATGTCACCTATATGGAAGAACAGAGCTTTCATCCCTATTAGCAGTAAAGACACTTAATGAAGCTAGGCAGCATTTCCTACCACTATATATAAGCATTGCTTGAATATTGTATTTTTTATTGTAGTTGATCTAATAAATTTTGTTTATTCTGGGTGATTGGTATCATTTGGAAAAATTTATAAGGAGTAAAATCTTCCTACATATTATATGGAGTGGAATTCATAAGTCAGATGCTAGGTCTGGCAAGGACTTCCTCAACAACCTTCTTCAAGACGCTTCTAATGCATTCCCAGGAAGAGCATAGAGGGTGAGAGAAGGACTAACCTCTGGGAATGCCAGTGTTTGGGGAGCCAGCAGAGGAAAAGAAGGCCAAAAAGAAAGCTGAGAAGAAACAAAATAAGAAGAGAATCGGGAGAGAGTAATGTCATGGAAGATGTCCAAGGGAGGAAAGATTTTCAAGGAGACAAAAATGGTCCGCAGCATCAAATGCAGCAAAGATTTCCAATAAGGTCAAGACAAAGAAGTATCCTTTGAATTTTGTGGCAGGGAGGTCATGGACATCCATGTTGTGATTATATCAGCACAGAAAATGGAGGCAGAAGCCACAATGCAATGAGTTGAGCAAATGAAAACAAGGAAGAAGAATAAGTGCAGAACCCCCTATAGAGAAATTTAGAAGAAAGAATAGACAGTAGCTGAAAAGTAGTATGAAGTTAAATATTCTGGTTTACTTATTTATTTAGGTTATTTGGGGTTTTTTTTGTTTTTTGTTTTTTGGGTTTTTTTTTTATTCTTATCCGAGAACATGCATAGAGAAAGAAAAGGGGAGAGAAAGAGAGAGAGAGAAACTTGATGTGAGAGAGTAACATCAATCGGTTGCTTTCCATATGTGCCTGCAACCAAGGTACATGCCCTTGACTGGAATCAATCCGCAGGCCGATGCTCTATTCTCACTGAGCCAAACCGGTCTTGGCTCCGATTCATCTTACTCTAGTAGCTGACACAATGCTCTGCACATGGGAGGTGTCAAGTGAGTGGATGAAAGAAGCATGAATTGAGCCTCTTATGGGAGTTCTCTGGAGATAAGCTAGAGGCTTCCTTGTAACAGAGCAGGTGGGAGAAGCGAAGAAAGAGGAGACAGTGCTTCCCCTTATGAGGAGGAAGTTAACCTTGAGTACCAGAGTTGCTGGATCTTTAGAGATGTTTAGACTCCTCTAGACTCCCTAGCATGATGCAGCAATGGCCCAAATGTAGTATATGGACTGACTAAGGCCCAAATCTGAGACGGGGGCCTTGTCCTCACCTCTTAGACTGAAGGAGGAGAACCATCCAGGCACCATCAGGGATAAAGGGGAAAGCTCAAGATACTTCTTGGCAGTGGACCCCACAGCCCTGGTGCTTGCCCTCTAACCTCTGTTCCTAGCCTCAGTCAACCTCAAGTCCTGGGTGGAACCTCTGAGACCTAGTCTCATCCCCGGGTTCCCCCCACTCCCAACCCATCAAGGCTGGTGAAGGGCCCTTAGACAGCTCTCCTGAACCAGAGGAGCCTGGTGCCTATCAGGAGCCACTCTATGGCATGGCCTCCCAGTGCAAAGCCCAGTGTGTCAGTGGAGCTGGTCAGTGTACCATTCTACCCACAAGTAAGGGGCCACAGGTCAGGAGGGGCTAACTGCAAACCAGATGAGGCCATGGACCAGAGTTTGGGTCTACTTCCAGGGCCCCTTCCTGACAGAATCCAAGGGATGGGTTTGAGTCGATACTCTTTGCCATTGGGATATGAGTAGTATTACACCCATTTTATGAATGAGGTCATTGAGGCTCAGATATAAAAAGTCAGAGTAAGGGTCCCCTGCTAGAATCTGAGGCCATTTTTTTTTTTCAGTCTAAAACAAATTAACCTCTGCTGGCTTGAGTAGGTAGAGGAGGAAAAGGATCTTACCTGAGATCCAGTTGCCTGTGGTCCAGACCAAGTCAAATGGTTGTCAGTAAGTTTGGAGACTAAAGTCTTGGCCCATTTATGATCAGAAAAGAATCAACAACTATAGCCTTTACCAACATTGCACCATCTAGGCCTACATTCATAGAGGCTAAAGGGTAGCCAGCAGGACCACCAGTGGTCTACAGATGTGTTCACGGTGCTAGGTCCCTGAATGGTTCCATCTCCCCTCTCCCCAGCTTGCCTGACACACATCTGGCCTCCCCAGTTTCCCCACCTCAACTTCCCTTTGTTATACCTAATTCAGGGCAACCAAAGCCTCATTTTCTGTGCAGTGCAGGCTGAACCACCTAAAACCACAGTTTAAGGGTTTAATGGTCCTCAAATGGCAACCCTGAGCCAGTCCATTTGGCTTATGAATATCTGCCCCCGACCCTATGTTCCTGGTGCTTTGAGGCATGCTATGGTCAGCTATTAGCAGGCTGGTCAGCTAGAGTCCCTGCTCTGCCTCGTACGTGTTGTGTAAACACACCAGTTCCTCTCGGACTTGTGGTCCTCTGCTTCCTTCTTTGTGTAATAGTCCATAAGAAGCCAGTGTGGGATCTGGATATAGGATCATCTGGGCAGAAATGAGGTCTGTCCCTCAGCCTTTCCCTTCCTTGCCTCCCACAAACTTCATTTGAGCTAGGAAGCCTCGAAAGAAATGTTACTACCTCTCAATTTAAAGAAGGAAATGAGACTGTTTTGCAACCAGGGCCCCCTGATTCAAGCCAAGAAGTCTCTGGTTTTATTGTAAAGAAAATGGGGAGAAGGGTCTGGACCAGGTTCACATCAGAAGCCCTGTCAGTGACTGCAGCCCAGGAGGCTGTTCATTCTCTGGGGCACGGGAAGGGCTTTGGTGGCACTCAGTTCCTCCACGTTGCTGTAGCAGTACAAGTTGGGGCCACTGACGAGGTACAAGCCGGAGCCGTTGGCAGAACAGGAATGGGGGCCAAGAGACTTTTCCATGCACAGGGCCCCGTCGACCTTCTCATGCGGCCAAGGAAGCTCTGTCCATGTCGCTTGAGCTCCTAACTTCATGTCCAGCCACCACAGCTGTCGTCCTGGGGAGAAGGCACCAGATATAACATGGCTTCCCCATCACGGGGACCCTGACCTCACCCTTCTCAGGCCCTGGTGGTGATCCTGGAGAAGTAGTAGAACAAGCCACTCCCTTAGCTCCAAATGCCCCTCACCTGCCATGATGTGGAGTCGAGAAGACCCAGGACAGATAAAGGCTGCGTCCACAGCCTCAAGGCTGGTCCCAGGAGGGCTCCCTAATGCCTTCTCCAGCCGTTTTGGATATCCATCTGCTAGGGTATAGCCTCCCTTTGTCAGGAAGATATAGATCTGATTGCCCTGGAGGATAAGAGATGTTCATCAGCATAGATCTGGACATTCCCCCAGTCTTTGCCTCAAGCCTCTCTCCCCACTAACACATACCTGGACTAGATAGAGTTTATCATCCCAGGAAAAGGCAGCATCCACTGTTGAAGGACCGTTGGGCCACTGATGGACAATGGGCCAGCTATGCCACCCATCCTTGCTGCCGTCCAAACGCCAGTAGTGGGACCCTGTGGAGTATCAAAGGCACCTGTAGTGCTGGTGGTAAAAGGCCAGGGAGTGAAGAAGCAAGTGAGAGATGCAGGGGTGAGTCCTGAGAGGAAAGAGAGAATGCATCCAGAGGCCAAGAGGGAAGAAGACACATAAGAGGAACTAAAGAAGGACTTGATTAGCAAAACTGGGCCTTGTGGCCTGATTGGAACTGGAGTCAGCAGGAGCCTGACAGAAGGGCAAGAATAAAGAACAGTGGCCAAGTTGCCCGGTAAGGCCAATGTCATGAGGTTTGTTGGGGCTTCCTACGAATCTCAGATGTCCATGTGCACAGATGTTATAGACAAGGAGAGAGTGACCAGAAGTTAAAAGGGAAGCACCACAGCAAGCTTCCAAACGTCCATGGAGTGTTCTCACTCTGCTACATTCTCTAATTCGGGGGGCAAAAGGGGGTGGGGGGGAGATAGTAAGAGAGTGAGGGAGTAGCCAGAGCAGCACTCTAATTTTCTTTTCTCCTTTCCATAGCAACTTACTAAACGACTTGTCTAATCTCTCATTTACCTTTACTTTCTCAACCTACTTCATTTACACTTCTGTTTCCCTCCTCTATTGAAATTGTTCAAAAGCACCAGTATCCTCCAACTTGCCAAATCTACTGATCCATGGTTTATTCTCTATCTCTCAGCAACATTTGACTGCTGACAACTCCCTTCTTTAAATCTTTTTTTAGATCTTGAATTCTGTGATACCAGACTCTCCCATGTTCCTCTTGTCTTGTTGACTCTTCTTCTCCTCAGCCTGATGTCTCATACTGGAATTCTCTAGTTTGGCTCTCTTCTCTACACTCACATCCTTGGGGATTTCACCCAGTCCAGGGCTTTAAATCCATCTACATACGGATGACTTTCAATCTGTTCTCTTTAGCTCTATAGGACTCTCCTTGGAATGTTAGGCTCAAACATAACGGCCTACTTGACCTGTGCATTTGGGGCCACTAGGCATCAAAAGCCAAATATGTCTAAACTGATCGCTGCTCCCACCAAACACACACACACACACACACACACACACACACACACACACACACACACACTTATTCCTTCTATAATATTTCCTAATTTTAGAGAAAGAAACCATTAATCACCTATCTAGTTACAAAAAAAAATGTCATTCTTTTAAATAAATTTTTAAATCCTCACCTGAGGATATACTTTCCTTATTGATTTTTAAAGAGAGAGGATTGGGGGATGAGGGAGAGAAAAGAAAGAAACATTGATCAGTTGCCTCACATACATGTCCCAATCAAGGATGTAAACTGAAACCTAGGGGAACATACCTAATAGTGTACTTTTGATTTAGGAGTTCAGCTGCATTCTATTCATAGCCACATGGCCTTAAGGTTCTATGATCTCTCTACATCTCTGTGTGGTCCTTATGACCCTGTTTTCTCTCTATCTTTCTCTTCGTGTGTGAGTGTGTGTGCGTGTGTGTTTGTGTGTGTGTGTGTCCTCACAGTGGTCCCATGCACTCACCATAGCTGCATTCTCTCCTGATACTTAAGTGTTTTTGATTCTGGCATATATTCTCAGTGCATGTCTATATTTTTCACTGCAAGTATGTGTTTAATCATGGATGGATGTTCTCATTACAACATGAATTCCTGTTGTGAGGATATGATCTTGTGACTGTGTCTTTTTCATTCTAGTTGGGTAGTCATATATAATCATATTTGTTGTCCCAGGGGTTAGGAGCAAAAAAGGATTTTCACTGCTCCATGTTCTCACCTCTATTTTACTTTTGTATCTGATCATACATGTATTGGGCTGAGTATAATGTGGTTGTTTTCTCTTTCTCTTGGAACTGTTCTTGAGTGTGAATCAACACCTGTCACTACCTGCCCGACTAACCCCAGAGCATCCCAAGGTACCATTAGATGGCTTTTACCAACTAATGCTGCTAGTCTGAAGAGAGGTTTCTCCATTGGTCGCTCCAAGGAGAAACCTCCTCGGGCCAGTGAAGCCATCTCCAACAGTTCTTGGCTAGTTTTTGGTATTGAAACATCTCATATGCATGTAATGCTGTTCCCAGAAGCCTGGACAGGAGGTTCTGGGAACCTGGAAAAAGACTGAGCTTCTGAAGATAAGCTCAGGGGTCACCAGAGGACCCAGAAAGACATGCAAGGGCAAAGGTAAAATGAGGGACCCAGAGGGGTCAGGAGAGGTCACAGGCCTGGGAGTAGATGGGACTGGGTGGCAGAAGAGGCCTGGGCACTGAGAGGCAATTTGAACAACATACACCAGAGAAGAAGGGGAATGAAAAAAGACATGCTAAGGATGGGAGCTGAGGGACAAAGTAAGGGACACAGTGGTGAAAATGAAGGAAACATATCAGAGATGGTAGACACGAGAAAGAAGTGAAAGATGTAGAGGGCAGAGATGGGGGACTTAGGGATATCTCTTACCACTGAAGGCGTAGGTGGCACCATGGTTGTCAGACAGCAGTGCAGACAAGACTACATCTGGGCGACAGCGTACTCCCTTATAGTTATGGTTGGTACCATTTCCATGGTGGGTTCTGTTCCCGTGGCCTTGGAGGAAGAAATAGGCAAGGGGAAACAAAGACAGAGGCCAGAGATCATAATGAAATCTGAGGTGGAAGAGATGATTGGGGTTAATGGGGTGTAGGCTTCCACCAGACGAGGACAATTGGGGAGAGCCAGAATAGAAATGGGGCTAGGGCAAGGGCCAAGGTCTTACACCACAAAGGTAAGGTGGGAGGTGGGCATATGGATAGATTCCAGTGAGTTCCAGGGACTGGGGCTTTCTCACCTCTGCCAGGGCAGGGCATGAAGTAGTCTCGGACATCCAGAGGGTACTTAGGAAGCACCTCTCCCGTGACAGGGTTGAAGCGCAGGAATTGGTTACCCCGGAAGCAGAAGTAACGGCCAATCCATCGAATGGCAGAGGAGCAGTTCCCAACAGCCGGCCAGTCACGTTTCTTTTTGGTTTTTGTAGCCAAGTCCCAGAACCATGTGTGGTTACCTTTGTCCATTCAATCAACAAACGTTCGGTGAGGCCAGCCTGTTCCCTTCTTTATGTTTGTACTGGGTGGACCAAACATGGTCCTGGCTACAAGAAGCTCACAGCCCACCAGGGAAACAGTTGAAGAGAGTGATCATACAGTAAAATTCCACAGCAAAGTGCACATGATCAGCTCAGCAAGGGGCAATGGGAAGAGTCAGGGGAAAATTCCCCGAGGTGATACTTAAACTAAAATCTGATGCAGGAGTTATAAGGCAGATGGGAGGAGGAGACAGAACTCCAGATAGAGGAAAGCCTGAAGCACGAAGGAAATTGGGTGTACAGGGAACAGCATGGAGCTTCTGGAGCTTCATATTCAAGGTAAAGGTATGGTGAGAGTTGAGGCTGGAGGGTCAATAGGGAGTTGGTCATGGAGAACCTTGTATGTAAGACTAAGGAACATAGATTTGTCTGAAGGGTCATGGGAACAATGAGGAACTTTTAGTAGAATTATACCCAGTTACCTTCCTTAGGATAACTTTTTCTACTTGGCCTTTGGATCCTAACTGACCTATTTCATTCCTTCCTTGGGGAGCCATATAGTGAATCCACCACCACCACTGTTCCTACCACTACCTCTGTCACCACCCACCCACCATTGCCCCAGCCTCTCTCATTCTGGACTGACCTTGGAAGAAGAGGATGCCCTCACTGTTGCATTCTCCACGGTGACATTCCACAGCTGCGTCCACTGGGAATGGGATTCCAGGAAACTCATCTTGCAACAACTTTGGGTTTTCCTCCTCTTTGTCCTTAGGAGGGTACACCCAGACCTTGTCCCCCTGCATACAAAAGGATTCTGTATTGAACTATGCTCCCCACATACTGCCATCCTGCATTTACACACAGCATCTTTAATCTGTTGCACTTACACAAGATCCTCCTGCAGCCCCACACACTCCCAGTCCATCTGTAGATGGACTGTCCCCATATCCATCACTATTACTACAACACACACACATCTGGCTTTGTACAATGGACTCTCCCATGGCACACTTACTTGTAACACCATTAGTGTTGGAAAACATCCAAAAACAGTGATCCTGTAATCACTCATCTATGTATACATGCATTTGTTCATTTATCTATTTTCATTCATTTATTAATTCAAGAATGACCACAGATATAGGGAGTAAAGGCATGACAAGGCTCTGTCTCTGCCTTCAAGGAGTTCCCTGTACAAGTGCAAAAAAAAAAAAAAAATAATAATCCACCGTCCGAGCCATGCAACCACCAAGATGGATGTGAAGTATACTGGGGATATTGGGAGAATGCCTGATCTACCTAGAGAATTCCGGAATACTTCACAGAGGAGGACACATTTGGGCCAAGAATTAAAAACTGAGCAGGAATTTTCCAGGTAGACAGTGTGGAAAGGATATCCCCAGCAGAGGGAACAGCACATACAGAGCATGCTCAGAGAAATACATGTGTCTAGTACAGTGAACGTGGCGGGGATGGGAGATAAACCTGAACAGATAACCAAGGGCCAGATCCTGAGACCCACATGCACCTGGCTGGCAGGAACCCACATGTGGTGGTGCCATTTATTGAAATGGGGAACATAGCAGGAGGGAGTCCCTGTGTAAGGAAGATACTAAGTTCAGCTTGGGTGATGCACCTATGGAACATGTAAGGAGTCGAAGATGTCTGCCATGAAATTGGGAAGACATGCCTGGAGCTCCAGGGAGAAATCCAGACCTGGTGTCCACAACAGACTCCTCAAAGCCATGGCATTAGTATACATCACCAAGGGAGAGTGTCTGGAAGAGTTGGATCTCCAAGGAACAGTTGAGGACTGACTAAGGATAAGAAGCCTGAGAAAGAGCAGGAAAAGAAGCAGGAGGGAAAACAAAGCTGCCAGTGAGGCCCACCCCAACCTCACAGCACCTCTGTTAAAGTGAGGAGAAGTTACCCTTTCCTCTGAGCAGACACAGCCTGGGCCAGGGCACATGACTTGGTGAGCACAGTAGGCTGGATTTCATCTGTCACTCACCCCCTAGGCTCCATTTCATCTGTCACTCACCCCCTTAGACTGGGTTTATCCATCACTCCCCTCTGAGTTTCATTCTGTCATGCGATTGTGTTGTGTACAACCTAGCCACCGTATGAAGAGGACCAGATGCAGGGTCACGGAAGCCAAGGGAAGAAATTGCCACGAAGGAAAGGATGGCCAAGAGTGTGAGGAGTGGCAAAGAGATCTGGACAAAAATCAAAACTACAAAATAGCCTTGGATACAGTACCTTCCAAGCTCACACGCACACACTGCCTTAGCCTGAGCTTTTTCAGGAAGGGAAGGCACAGGGGGAGGAAACCTGGAACTTATTGGTAAGGACTGCTTGCCAGGGCCACTTGGGGGAAAGTCTGTCATGTAGATCCCTGCACTTCCTGGCCCAGCCCTGACCTTGACCCAGCAGTACCTTGATCACGTAGACAGTGTCCTGACCAAGGCGAAAGGCGGCATCCACGGAGTTGGTCTTCCACTTCTCTGAAATCAACTCCCGGGACCAGTGATGAGCAGTCCACATGTACTCCCCTGAAAAATTCACTCACTGAGAGACCAAGAACAATGTTTGGGTCTACTGAGATAGTTACAGAGAAGCTGTGGGCGATATTCTGAGGTAATTCCTATGATCTCCCACAGGAGGATATACCCCTGATGAAGGGGATCAAGTCTGGGGTCTCAAATGCCCCAACCCCAGCCTCTCCTACCTTTAAAAAACAGCATGGTCCCATTTTCACTCAGAGTAGTAGCATCAAAGCTCCAGCCATCTGAGCAGAGTTCTGAGGTGGAGGTGGGGAGATGACAAAGTAAAAGACCAGTCAGATGACAAAATGCAGAGACATAGACAGATAGACACACTCAGGGAGTGGGGGCCTCACCACGCATGTCTGGGACCAGCTGGTTCCTATTCCCACCTTCAGCTCCACTCTCAGAGGCACTAGTCCTAGAGAGAAGGCAGAGAGAGGTCTTTCTTAGCTCCGGACCCCAAACCTGGCTCTGTTCCCTCTAGGTCTGACCCCAGTCCTTCTTCCCCAGCATTAGCTTTACTCACGAAGTAACAGGGTGGGCAATGGCCAGAGACCAGCACAGGCCCAACAGCCCCAGTGTTCCCAGTGTCCGAGCCATGCTGAGCTGGAGATGCCACAGGACAGCTCTCGTCATCTGACTGAACCCCCTTTATAGAGATGGCAACAATACTGCCCCACCTCCAAGCCTGCTGGGAATGGGCTGTCTGCAAGGTTTAGGCCAATATTGGCTGATTACATCAGTGTAAATAAGGTCAGGGTCCAGGCAGAAATCTGAGTCCAAGAGTCACTGTTCCTGGCAGAAGGCCCCATCCCACTCCAATGACTTCTTAAAAATATATTTTTTTACTAGTGACCTAGTGCATGGATTCATGGAAATTAATTAGAAGGTGCACACAGGCCGAAACTGGATTGGCTCAGTGGATAAAGCATCGACCTGTGGACTGAAAGGTCCCGGGTTCGATTCCAGTCAGGGGCATGTTGCGGACACATCCCCGATGGGGAGTGTGCAGGAGGCGCCTGGTCGATGTTTCTCTCTCATCGATGTTTCTAGCTCTCTGTCTCTTTCCCTTCCTCTCTGTAAAATATCAATAAAATATATTTTAAAAAATAAAGAAGGTGGATGCAGGACAGGACTGTGTGAGACCGGACAGACATACCCTGGAACCAACCTCCCTCGGTCCCTCCCTGGCATCTGCGGAGTGATGAGGGTCCCTCCAGCCTGGCCAGTGGAGATCAGGCAGAAACCGGCTCTCCAACATCCCCCAAGGGGTCCTGGAGTGCGAGAGAGCACTCAGCAAAGTTGCTGTCATTCAGGGTGTGGGACACAAATGCAAATGTGCAGTAAACCAGATTCGGGGCCGACAGTGCCCCAACAACATCATAACCCACAGTCAAGGTGGAATCGTGCAGGCCCATGAGGAATCGGGCTCCCTCCTCTCTGGTTTTGGGGTGTGCCACCAGAGGACCACCGCTACCAAGTCACTGCAGCTCAGTAGCTCTAGCATTGAACGCCTGCCCCCTGGTGGTCAGTGTGTGTCATAGCAACCGCTTGGATGGTGGGTGGGACACTTACCATATTAGCCTTTTATATATGGAGATTGATTTCCGAAAGGAAGGGAAAGGGAGAGAGAGATAGAAACATCGATGATAAGAAAGAATCATTGATTGGTTGCCTCCTGCACAACCCCTACTGGTGATCGAGCCTGCAACCTGGGTGGGCTTATGCCCATGACTGGAATCAAACCTGGGGCCTCCAGGCCACAGGCTAACGCTCTATCCACTGAGCCAAGCCAGCTAGGGCTTCAATGACTTTTGAGCAGTGACTAGCCCATGCCACCGATGCCCAGTTGTGACTCTCATCACCTTGGTGATGGATCTGGTTGCCCATAACATCAAGGAAGTGGGTAGATTGTTTGAAGATCACCTTCTGTGGTTAGGTTTACCTCTATAGTGGGGAGGAGAGAAGAGGAGAACACTAACATTTTTGTGTACTGAGTATCAAGCCCTGCTCCAAGACAGCTAAAGACACTGATACTTATATAGACATAGCAAACACATGCACAAACATACTTAGAAACACTCAGAGAACAACTATTTCCAAGTTCCACTAAGGGCCTTTCTGGGGCATTTTGATATCAGTTATCAGCCCTTTTTTCTTTCTTTCTTTCTCTCCCTTCTCCCTCCCCCCCCCCCCCCCCACTTTGCTTTCCCTTTGTTTTCTTTTCTGTGCCCCAAACATGAAACAGCTCTGGCCACAAAGACAGGCAGCAAGCTAGAATGAACTAAGGACTGTATATCTGCTTTGCCCCTGACTAATATAAGAGTGCCACCACCATGCCGAAACTGGTTTGGCTCAGTGGATAGAGCATCGACCTGCGGACTGAAGAGTCCTGGGTTTGATTCCTGTTGGGGGCATGTACTTTGATTGCGGGCACATCCCCAGGAGGGGGTGTGCAGGAGGCAGCTGATGGATGTTTCTCTCTCATCCATGTTTCTAACTCTCTTTCTCCCTTCCTCTCTGTAAAAAATTAATAAAATAAAATATTTTTTAAAAAAAGAGTGCCTGAACATAAACTGTGCACCTATGGATGAGGACAATGGGGGATGGGGAGGTGGCAGAGGGTGGGGTGGGAACCTGGTGGAAGGGGGAAGAAATGAGGAACCTTTGTAATAATATGAACAATAAAGATTGATTTAAAAAAAAGAAAAAAGAAAAAAGAAAAGTGGAAAGTAAAATCCCTTTGGGGAAATTGCTTGTTATTATTCTTTTTTTTTCTTTCATCAATTAAAGAGCATCTTATTAAAAAAAAAAAAAATTAAAAAAAATTAAAAAAAGAGTGCCACCACCAAACAGGTGTCTCCTTACCCATTGAGTCATCAGCTTTGCCCTTGAAAAGTCATTAAGATTTCACCATCAATGTCCAAGTCCCACCCCCACCCCCACTCCCACGGGCAAAGAACTTTACAAAAAGTCACTGGGAGGGAAGGGGCTGACCGTAATGGGACAGGAAAGGCGGTTTCTCTTTCGGAGAGCGCTGCTCGTAATCACTCTTTCTTGGTACTTTTCACAATAAGGGAAAGGTGTTTTATTTGCCCATCATAGAATAAATAGAACTGCCATGGGTTTCACAATATTTACAGCCGATTCTTGCTGAAATGCTATCTTCTCAATGAAGCCCTTCATGACCACCTTCTCCAGCCATTTCAAACTCACTCCTGTTTTCTTTATGTCACTTACTAAAATTTGAAATTATTATTTTTTAAAAAATATATTTTATTGATTTTTTACAGAGAGGAAGGGAGAGACATAGAGAGCTAGAAACGTCAATAAGAGAGAAACATTGACCAGCTGCCTCCTGCACACCCCCTACTGGGGATGTGCCTGCAACCAATGTACATGCCCTTGACCGGAATCAAACCTGGAACCCCTCAGTCCGCAGACCAACACTCTATCACTGAGCCAAACCGGTTTCGGCAAAATTTGAAATTATTTTATCTGTCTACTTATTTGTATACTGTTACATTCTCTCCACCACAAATAGTACCTGGCATATAATAGGTGCTTAGTAATATTTGTTGAATGACAAAAAAAAAAAAAAAAAAAGATTTCAAGTACTGACTAGTGTTGCAGCCAAATTTCTGGCGATTTTCCTCATAGGGTAAGGGGAAATATCAGGGCCTGGGCAGGGGTTGTTATGATGGAAGGCATATTGCAGGCGAGGGTTCATAGGTTCCCTTGTCACTGTCCTTCATTTTATGGTTTAATTTCTCTTTCCTGTGCACATGTCAGCCATCCGGGCGCTGGTCACGGGGCTCAGTGTCCCAGCCCCACATCCCTCTCTTCCTCTAGTCCTGGGGACTCACGAGCCTCCGCCATCGCACTCAGTGTCCTCTCCAGACTCACAGTTGTGCCTTGTTAGCCTTGTTCCTCCCACAGGTGAGTGGACGAAACGGGACTCCCCTAGCCCTTGGCAGCATGGGCAATGCCATGGCTCCTACGGCAGGTGCCCAACACCCACTCTCTGCAGGTTCACCCAGGATGGACCTGCTCCCACAGGCACTGGGCGCCGGGCCCTGGACACCGCTGCTCCCAGGCTCCCCCTCACTTCTTCTTTTACTCTCAGCCTCTACAATCTTATAGAGCATTCCTGGGGCTCTCCCTCCTGAGCCCCTTGCACCAGCAACACCCTCAGCAACTGTTTTTAGCTCCAGATGGTGTCTGTGTGTCTTACAGCTCTCACGGAGTCTCTCTTGGGAGATGGGAGCTTTCATACTGAGTCACTAACAGCCTACCCCCCCTCCCCCCCCGCCCCAAACACACACACACACACACACACACACACACACACACACACACAGTGAGGGCCTTCAGTAGCCATTTCATCAAGGCCCTGCTTGGAACTGCTGGTGCAGGGGCGCGGCCTCTCCCTGGCCTGGCACGGCTCTCCAGGGGGAGAAAGCACATGCACTGGATGACGGGGTTTCCACTTGGCCTCTTCCCCACACAGCCCTGGTTCCCTCACCCCTGAACTATCGTAGAAGAGGGCTTTACGTTCTCTTTTCAGTTTCCTAATTCGCTCGTCTACCCTAAGATGACTTAGATACCAGTATAGGAGATTTCCTGCCTGCCCCAGGAATAGTTAAGCAGAGACTTCAGCAAGGCAGGGGGAAGCTCAAGTTCTGAGCAGGAGCCAGGAGGCAGAGGACTATCCATTTGGAAACCAAGTTGTGGATATGTTGTCCGTCTGGTGCTGGTCACAGGGCACAAAGAACTCTTCGCAGAGGATCCAAGGTTGGGCTGGCCCTGCTTCTCTCTCTTCTCAGTTGAGGTGGAATTTATTCTTGTCCTGGAGTCCTTCCCAGCTCTCTGACCTGAGCTGAAGAGAAAGTGATTGTCCTCACTCGGTCCTGAGCGCCCCCTGGAGGCTGCAGGTGTCAGTGCGCTCCCACCTTTCAACCAGGGACAGAGCCCAGGGGCTTTTCCTCCCAGAAACCGGCTCTCATCTTCTTCCCTCAGTCCCTCAGTGACACAACCTCCTGCACGGCAAATCTCTGCTGCCTGGGGTGGGTTGGGGGCCTTCGGTTTCTTGTTTGATTTTCTGGGCAATTCAAGCCCTGAAAAATCCAACTGTCTGCTTTTCCATGTAGTCTTCCTGACTGGTAGCTTTCTGCTTCCCTTACAGAGGGTCTGCATGGACAGAGCTTCTTCTTGCGCTGCGAGGGCCACATATAAGCCGGGTCCACTGTCCCTTGGAATGGCCACGTCCAGCCGGCCCTGCTGATGGTCCGCACCCTCTGACCCCCAGTCATTTCCCCTGGGCCTCTGAGTGCCAGTGAGCTGGGCCTGCTGCACCGGCGGTGTACTCCAGGAAGCAGAGATTGGACTCATCCTTTCCCCAAACTGAGACAGCTTAGGGGTAAAGTTCCAGACACCAAAAAGAGGTCACTGCTCCCAAATGAGTTCTCCAACATGTGCATTTTTACTGGCTCTGTCTATAATGGGCTTTCCTACATCATCCATTCTTGCTTCTCTATGAATAAATCATTATAATAATAACTGGTGACCTGCCAGAAACAGATCATGGTCTCACTAATAGA